ACAGTCTTTCAAAGGAGTTTACCTTTTTCTAACCTTGAGCCTGTGATTGGTAAGATCTGGCAATTTCTGTGATGCCTTTATCTTTCATATTGATCTTATGCAAAATATGCAATTTATTTTTACTGTTAATATTTTCGGTAATCTCAGTCTTCGTCTCAATGTTTTTTCCTGATTCTCACTATAGATCTAGCTGAAAGTGACCAGAAATATCCATGCCAGTTATGGTTTGTGTCTGGATGAGTCCTCAAAGCCTCCTGGGGGATGGGTTGTTCAGCGGTGACTGAATGTAGACTTTATGATTGGTGTACTGTTCAGTACTGAGATTGGGGGAGTGAGTGCTGCACCGCCCTGGGGTGGGTCACCTGTTTACGGTATAAGGGAGGGAAAAAGACTTGCGCTTCTCTTCTGCCCCCTTTTGCTCTTGTTGCTTTTGCTGTTGCCCTCTGTCATGTGCCACCCTACCTTCGAACCAGCTGATTATAGACTCAAACCTTTATGCACTATGAGCTAAATAAACTTTTCCTTTCTTAACTCTTAGCATTAGGTATTTTGTTCTAGCAATGGGAGAAAAGTAACTAAGACAATGCCATGGCCTGAATGTTGAAATCCCTTGAAATGTCCTTCACCAGTATAATTAGTCCTTCATTTTAAAATTCAGCCTCACACAATCTTTGGACATGAGTAAAAATGATGAAAAATTGTGGGCACCAAAATTCAGAAAATGTGCTTTCACATGAATGTGTTAAGTATGTTCATACAACATATCACATATATTAAATTATAAAGATTCATACACAGTCATATCTATTCATTATCAAGTGTACACATTATACATTGTGTCTGTACGCCTATTGATCATTCAGCAATAAGTCTTGCATTTATCCATTTACATAGATATTTACTTCTCCTTCAAAGGTGCCTGCTTGGGTGTTTCCAAATATTTAATTATAATTTATATTGTCATTTGTTTTAAATATTAATGTCAATAATAGTATTTATTTTTAATTAAAAGTTTATATTATTATTTTATAATTCAGTGTGTCTTTTGTGTGTTCCATTGGATGTACTAAATGTCTGTCTGGTGGACAATTAGCAGTGGCTTAGTTTTGGGATACAGCTTATATTAAGTGCATACTGAAAAATCATTTTAGGGTTTGCCCTCCAGTTAGGCCTTGTTTTCAGAGAAATATGGTAGTCATTACTGGGGTTGCAACCTGCTTAATTAGATTGGATATAGTTCTTAAAACATTAATTCACAGCTTATTTTTAAATAAATCTCTTACTGACTAGCAATAATTATTTTGTTTTTGCTTTGGTATTTTTAAGTTTCAGTATCAGCAGGTAACATTTTTTACTATGTTTTCCAATTCTAAAGCTTTTCTAACCTATGATCCCTTACATATTAATAACTTATTTTCAGTAGTATCTGTCACTGTTCTTTTAAGATATAAACAAATTACATCGATAGAGTGTTTCTAGGGGCATTCTGACTACTGTTTTATACAGTAGTCGGCACCTTTGAAGGAGAGGTAAATATCTACATAAATAGATAAACTCAAGACTTACTGCTGAATGGCCAATAGGAGTACAGACACAATGTATAATGTGTGCACTTGATAAAATGCATTTTATGTTTTCTTGTGGCATTTGTTTGTGTAAATCTGTTTGAAATTCTCATAGGGGGCAGTCTTTAAGTGATAGTTTTCTAAGGGAAAGATAGGGGAATATATAATTGTCCTAATGTTAGTAATATTGGGAAGATTTATGGACTCCCACAGTGACACTCTCTTAATGACACTCAGCTCTCAGACTTTATCATAACAAACACATGTGCCTCCCTGACTCCAAACACGCTTCACAACCTACACACAGCTTGGTGCCTGGGCTATTACCTTGATTTATTTTACCCTAGGCACAAATCTGACCCTGCATTTGTTACCTTTGAGATTTAAAATAAATCTAAGATTCTAATTCAGTCATTTTAATTCATTTTAGGCCCTATACATGTGGTCTGTGAATTAGTTTATTTGTAAAAGAAAATGTATGCAATAGATCGTATTATATTTGACAGTATCTCAAATTTAGGTTGCTCCTTCAAGACACTTGCTTCATTTTCTTTTTTTTTTTTTTTTATTTTAAAGAGAATAAAACACAAAACAAAGCAAAACAGAACAGAAGAATGCAAGCAACATAGGACTTCAAAACAGGACAATAGGATATCAGCAGTGGCTATCATAATGTCTCGTTTTCTTTAAAATGGTTTATTATACCGTCACACATAGTAATATCTAACGTAACAAAATAGTATAAAACCAATCAAAAGAATGAAAGCATTATAGGACTTCAAAAGCAGACAGCAGGAAATGAACAGTGGTTACTCTTAACATCTCATTTGCTTCAAAAAAGTTGTCCATACTGTCACACATAATAAAATCAAATAAACCGCAATAGAATAGAAGCAATCAAAACAGAAGAATAAAAGCATGATAGGGGGCTGGGGATTTAGCTCAGTGGCATAAGTGCCTGCCTTGCAAGCAGGCGGTTGTGAGTTTGATCCCTGGTACTGATAAAAACTGAAAAAGACCAAAAAAAAAAAAAAAAAAAAAAATTAAAAGCATGATAGGACTTCAAAACAAGATGACAAGATGATAGGAAATCAGCAATGGCTACCATAATGTCTTATTTTCTTCAAAATAGCTGTTTATACCATTACTCATCATAAAATCAAACAAAACAAACCAATAAAACCAATTAAACAAATGAATGAAAGCATTATCAGACTTCAAAAGAAGATAGTAGGAAACCAACCATGATTACCATAATATTTCCTATTGTGTTCAGAATAGCTGCTCATACCATCAGACAAAATAAAATCTAACAAAGCAAAACAGAACAAAACCAAACCTAACAAAATTGTGAAAACAATACAACAGTTCAAGACAAGAAGAAATTAACAGTGATTACCACCTTTCCCTCCCAGGTGTTTCCTCCCCTATCATTCTCACAATAACCATTTTGCTTTTGGATCCTATTAACTCCTCCTGTTTCCTATGCTAGCATTCGCACATAGGAGTTCAAACTGTCTTACACATGAACATGATCTCCATTTGCATCCATTTACCTACAAGAGCCTCGAGATTATTCTACTTTATACCTGGATAGCTTTCCACTGTATGAACATACCAAATCTTCTTATCTATTCTGCAGTTTGATGAGCAAGTTACCTTGCATTTTTTCTGGTCTCCTGTCACATGGAACAATTGTTTCCTCTCCTTTAATTTTCAGTCTATGAATTTCCTTTTGAGTTAAATATGTTTCTTTTATACAGTATATTGATGGATCTTGTTTCTTGATCCATTCTTCCTGTGTTTCCTTTTATTGCTGAACTGAGGCCATCTACATTCATGGTTACAACCAGCATACATTGGTTTGTCTCTTCCTTGCTATCCTCCTGTTGTGGCCCTCCACTTTTCCTCTTCATTCAATTGCCTGTCTTGTGTGGTAATCCTCCTCTGCTGCTCTTCCTGGAACCATGGTCATCTTTATCTCTCTTTAGAATATACTTTTAACATTCTCTGTAGGGTTGGTTTAGTGGTCATGAATTTCTACAGTTGTTCTTTATCATGGAAGTATCCTATTTTTCCATCAATTTTGAAAGATAGTTTTGCAGAGTACATTAATCTGTATTGGAATTTGTTTTCTTTCAGTATTTGAAACACTTCAGTCCAAACTCTTCTTGACTTAATGGTTTGTGTTGACAAGTCTGCCACCATTCTGAATGTTTTGCCTCTATAGGTGACTTGTTTCGTTTCTCTAATAGCTTTTAAAAATCTGTTCTTGCGCTGAATTTCTGGGATCTTGATGATTATGTGTCTGGGTATAGATTTACTTTGGTTATGACTAAGTGGGGTTCTATATGCCTCATTTACCTGCATGCCAGATCCTTTTCCCATGTTTGGAAAGTTTTCTGCTATTACTTCTGCAAATAGCTTTTAAATTTCATTTGTATTGACCCCTGCTTCTTTCCTAATACCAATAACTGTTAAATTATGCTTCTTTGCATCATCTGAAGCCTTTGAATTGTTGTTTCCTGATTCCATGTTATTTTGAAGAGATCTTTCCTTTCATGATAGCTAGCTGCAATCCTATCTTCAAGATTTGAAAGTCTATAGTCTCTTTCAAGCAGTTTTGCCAGGTTTCAGTGACTTTTTAATTTTCTGAATATCTCTTTGAGTCTGCTTCATGCATTATGATTCCTTTTTATATTGTTCATTCCAGGTTTCTATCATTTACCTATGCTCTTCTTTTTTTTTTTTTTTTTAATCTATGTCTTCTTTAGATACGCTGAGCATTTCTTTCATTATGTTTGTGATTTCTTCTTTTACCTGAGTCATTGTTTCTGATTTGACTGCTTTTACAATCTTGAGAAGTTGCTATCCTCTCAGAGATTTTGGGACTGTGACTTCCATTTTCATCCATGACTGTATCTCCCAGACTTGTTCTGTGTGGGCTGGAGATCTGAGATTGCCTTTTACTCCTTCATCTTGAATTATCCTGGGTTCCTCACAAGCAGGTTGTGGGGCCCCAAAAACTTCCTATGTTGGCTGCCCCTCTGTGGGGGGGTGGTGGTGGTGGTGGTGGAATGCACAGGGCTTACCTGGCTGTGTGTCCCTGCTCCTATTAGATGCCTGCAGGAAGCAGCATTTTGGTAGAGTTGGCTGGAAGGTGGAGGCAAATCTGCTGGCTCTATCTGTCTGCACTAGTTGCCTTCAAGAAGGAGCCTTCCAGTGACATCAGCCTCTTTTATTTTCTTATGCTGACACTTAATAACTATTGTGATAACTTAAAATATATTTATTTTCATATTATGATTTTGAAGGAGTCCTAAAAGAGGAAAATTAAAGGAAATAAAAGTATAATCCACAAATACATAGTGTCCATTAATATCTTTACTTCTTAGAGAAGTTGAAATAATTTAAATTTAATTTCTTCTCTTTCAGTATTGTGTTACTGCTAAGCCAAAAACAGACACTTGAAGAGCTGAAACAATCAGTTCAGCAGCTGAGATGCACTGAGGCAAAGTTTGCAGCCCAGAAAGAATTATTAGAGCAAAAAGTACAAGAAAATGATGGAAAAGAGCCACCTCCAGTAGTAAATTATGAAGAGGATGCACGATCAGTTACATCCATGGTAAGCTAGAGAGTAATCTGATGAGAATCTTGAAAGAGTAGTGTCTAGGTTATTAGTGAATACAAAAATTGTGATTTGCTATAACAAATTATCACTCTTGTTAAATGCAGGTCCTATTAAACTTGTTTGTAAATGCAAAATAGACTTGTCAGTCACCTCTCACCTCAGGTCACCTGGAGAGCACTTTAAGGAACCACCCATAGAGTGAGAGGAAAAAAAGTTCTTCTCTTGCCTTCAAAACTGAAAAGAAAGACTGCAATTGTTTTTATTCCTGGGAAACAGCAGGAAGGTAGGGTGTTATTCTTAAGATAGAAGTAAGACATAAGGAGAAAGCTATTTAATTTTTCTTTATTTTAAATAACAGTAGAATTTACCTTAGATTGATGGTGTGTTATTGTTTTCACCATGCAAACTATTGATTTAGTTTTTAAAAGTTATTTTTCTCATAAATAAGATCTTTATAGTACATTAAATATCACCAACTCAAAATTTAATTTTTTATAGTTTTAGTATCAGTTTAAGAATGCTTACTCGTATGGTCCTTTTTCCTTCTTCCCTTTCTCTCTTTCTATCTCTCTCTCTCTCCCTTTCTCATTCCTACCTTTCTTTCCATTTCTCTTTCTGTATGTGGATGATTCTTATTAAGGAGCAGTTTACCTGATCCAACAGGGACATTTGGCAGCTCCAGGTGCAACTAGTGGATGCGTCGGTATCCAGAGTCTGTGAAGCATTGTCCAGGGCACTGAACAGTTCCTCCATCACATCCCCAGTGAAAGATTATCAAAACCAAATGTCAGTAGCGCAAGGTCTGAGCTATTTTTTGTGGTTTGCTGGATTTTTCTATCTATTCTATAGATAGAAATATTATGGTTAATGAATTTATAGTTGATATTTTAGAAGATTTTAGTTATGTAGTTCTAAGTAGTACAGTTTGATTGTTAAGTAGATGTGGATGTCTCCTTGGGGGAAAAAGACTGATACGATATAAATCTTCAGTAAAAGTCGAAATGGCTATGAAATAGTAAATATTGTGGTTATTGCCTCTTTGAGCCATGATAATGAACACATCAATTTATGAATTATAATTACTTCTATAAGGATCATAGTAAATGTAAAATGTATCAAGGATTTTGTTAAATTTTCTTTGTTGCTTTACAATTTTATTTTAAATTTTGATAATATTGGGATTTAACCCAGGGCCTTTGTACCACTGAGCTACATTGCCACCATTTTTATTTTTTTACTTTTAGTGGGGTCTCCAAAGTTGCCTGCACTGGCCTTGAACTTGTGATCCTCCTGCTTCAGTTTCCTAATTAGCCAGGGTGTTGAAGTGTGCCATCAGATCTGGCATTTTATGATTCTTCCTGTCTGGCATATGCATTCTTTTGTAGGAGTATCAGGTTTTCTTTCTCTACATGGCTTTTGAACATCTCAAATGTTTGTCTTCTCAGGATGCCTTTTAAGATGTTCCCATGTTTTCAGGTTGGTGTAGAGTTAATTAATTAGTTAATGACTTGATTTAATAGCCAGATTGGTTAACACTGGGTAATTTGATTTTATATACAGATAACACCTGTGAACAATATGACAGAATAAAAGATAGTTACTCAGTTTGTACATGTTTGAGATATATTGTGTTCTCATTCCTTGTGTGGGGTTGGTGCATATGCATACTACATCTTAATTCCTCTTTTCTTTCCCTAACCTCCTTCCTGCCTCCATCCACCTCTTGATCTCCTTCCTTGTTTTGTAGATTTGCTGAACGTAGTGGTTACATTCCAGTAGTTAATTCTTATGAAGAATTTGTGATCATGTGAAGTTTACTGTTTCGTAATCATTGAGTAAAGGCGTTAATCATCACATGAATTGAGTAAACTATTTCAGGTATAATGTATAATAAAACTTAAAAGTAGTTTATTCCTCTTGAGACCGTCAACTCTTCTTAACAATTTATTAAGTGGTGATAAATACCTTGTTAATTTTACAAAGTAGTATTACATATTTAATTTTATCCAGTTTATTTTAAATAACTACAATTTTTATTACATCTTATCTATTAGTTAAAACAATGCCCTTAGTAAGTCTTAAATTAAAAATTAAAATTTATTAAGTCTTCGTTAAATTTATCAATTTTATTATTTATTATGCATACTACTGAAATATAGCAGTTTATTTATAAATGAAAACAAATGAACAGTGAATATTGCTTCAGAAATTGGAAAAAAAAGAATACCAGTAGTACTAAATAACTCAGCCTTTTATTTATTTTCTTCAGGTTCAGAGTTTCTGATTTAATTATATAAAGATGAAGGGTCAGTATGCAATCTAAAAATATTTGTTACAATTATATCAATACTTTAATAAACTATACAAAAGGAACAACGAGACAAACATTTGCATTTAGAGAACTGCATATTAGTCAAGCCAGATCCCTGCTGAGGGAATTCCTGGCAAGACCTCTTTTATCTGTGAGAACACAGAGCAATCCTAGTTGAGACATATACATTCATCTGCTTGCCCAGCATAGCCAGATCTTCACTTTGTGATGATTTCCTTTTACTGTGAATGTATATTGTCTAGTGTCTGCTTCTTACAGCAGACATTTACCTTCCTTATCCACCAACCACTGGAGGAGGACTGAGACCATGAAGAGATTGATTTGACCCATTCTTTGGGGAGGGTTTCCTGGTGGTCCTCTTCCATCATCGTATCTGGAATTAGATGAATTTTTGTAGCCTTTTCCTTTTTTTACATCTTGTTGAAACAGAGTTTTGAAAAATAAAACCACAAACTCAGCTATTCCCCAGAAGAAATCTGTTATTAATGATAATCTCCATGGGAACTAACTGTGATTGTCTGACACTTACCCATTCGAGATGTAAACCCATCTTTCCTCTCTTCTGGCTTCAGAGCTCAAATTTCTCAGTTTTATAAAAGAATGCTATACATTGTTTAAAGCAGTAGGTTAGTATTTTATAAATCAGATAGGGCATCCCTCAAATTAATACCAATAATGATATTTTATACTTACAAAGAAAGTAAGGTAAATAACATTCAAAAGGTAATGTCTGAACAATGTCTTGAAACAGGTTGCTACTATACTATTTTGATATCTAGAGAAAGAGCATTCTAGTACAGGGTGCATCCACAGCAGAAAACTGCAGGGAATATCTGGACTATGCCATTACTACAAGAAAGATTGAGTGGAGGAAGAGGGAAGTATAGGGAATGTGGTTAGGCCAGAAATAAAGAGCTTTTAAGGCTTTGTGGATCACAGTGAAAGATTGTGTCTGTTCTCTGAAATAGGGAGTTATTGCTTTGGAGTGTTATAACAGGAATAACATGCTAAGAGTTGGATTTAAATGGACCACTGTAGCAGTAGTTGAGTGTGTGATGAGAATGATGTATTTAAAGGGAGCAAAGATGGATGAATGAGACTATTGGAATTACATAATAGAAGATAGTGATTTGAGCAGGGATGGTAATACTAAATAGGTTCAGAAGTGTTTGATTTCTGGATTTATTTTGAAGGTTGAGCTCATGATATTTCCTCTGATTATAAAATATGAGAAGACTCCTAGATGACTTAAAGATTTTCAGTCAGTGTATTGGAGGAATGGAATTGATTTTGAGTGAAACAGAAAAACCATAGCTGAAGCAGTTTTGATAAGGAAGATCAAGACTTTAGTTAAACTTTTCAAAAAAGATAAGACAGTAGAAATTTGAATATTTGGGTGGGGAGCCCAGGAACATGATTTGGACTACAGATATAAATTGGAGAGTTACCAGTATCATTGTTATTTAAAATTGTGCAAGGTACAATTGTTTGACTATAAAGTGACTGAATGAGAAAGACTGGAGAGGAAGAGAAGAACAAGGGCCCAAGTTTGAGCACTTTAGTTTGAGGTCTGCAAGAGGGGATATATTAGAAGAGACCAAGGAAAACATAGTGCAGAAGAAAATGAAGACAATTAGGTGATCTTGAAGCCTCATGTAGAAAAGATTTCGAGTCAGAGGAAATAATCATATTAAATGTCATTGATGGATGTTATAAGGTGAGAAAAGGTGGTTGAGCACTGGAGTTAGCAACATGGAAATCACTAACAAGATTCAGTGGGATGTTGACGATAAAGCCCTATTTAAGCTGAGCCCAAGGGAAGGAAAAGAGAATTGTATATAGTAGGTAAAGACAAAATTTTTAAGGATCTGTGCTGAAAAAGTGTTCAAAAATAGAGTAGTAAATTTGAGAATATTGAGTATTTAAAAAAAAAAGAATTTTGTCATATCTGAATATTGAATGTATTCATCTAGAAGGAAGACAAAAATTAATCATTTTGGGAAATAAATTACCTGAGTAAATTCTTTAGGTAGATGGGAGATGAAGGCATTTAATAATCAGAAGATCAGATTCATATTGGCATAGTCATTGACAGGTAAGGTGGTAGTTCTTGAGAGCAGGTGTTTATGCTGGTGGGGTACTGGAGTATTCTCTTTTGATTTCTTTGTATCCTCAGTAAAGTAGAAGTCAAGGTCACTGGCTGAGAGTGAAGATGTATGAAGAGGTATTGGATGTTTGAAGAACAGGGGAGGATCTGAAATCATCTAGGAATGAGAGGATGAATAGATTCTGACAATATTGTGTGATTGCTGAGGAATGTCAAGGACCATTTAAGATTGCAGTTGTGTACTGGATATGTGGTGGGCTGTACAGTATTAGAATAACAAATCTAAGGCAGAACTATTCAGCACGATTGTAGTTTTCTACCAGGGTACTTTGTCGGGTTACAAAGTTGGCGGCCTAGAGAAGACAAAATCAGTGACCCCTGGGGATTTAGCTCAGCGGCATAAGCGCCTGCCTTGCAAGTGCGCGGTCATGAATTCGATCCCCAGTACCAAAAAAAAAAAAAAAAAAGAGAGGACAGAATCTACCTTCTGACAGCGCTGCATTTGTTTAAGGCTGCTATATATGCTTACTCAGTCAAGTCAGAGGGGCAAGTAGC